GTGCAAGATTCTAAGATTGGATGCACATAGACCTTGTAGGCTTTTAAGAGGAGATTTGAATCATTACTGATAAAGGTTTTGAAAAGTAAATATAGACGAGCGTAAGCTTTTTAGGCAATACGAGAACAGTGTTTAGAAAATTTTGTGTCAGAAGATACCGTAATACCAATATCTTCAATACAGTTAACAGTCGTTATCGGAGTGTCCAGGCAAAACGAATACGAATGAACAGTCAAAGACTTACTTCCAAAACATAAGTGGAAACATTTTTTGAATGCTATTTTTTGTTGCCAGTAAGCTGTCCAATCAGAGAACTTTTTTAATGATACTTTAAGGTCAGCATTATTATTTTCGTCTCTCGTTTGGTACAATTTGCTATCATCAGCAAACAGCTTTATTCGACAATCACCTTCAATACAAGAAACTACATCATTAATAAATAAAAAGAATAAAGTCGGAGCCAACACAGTTCCTTGGGGTATTCCACTCTTTACAGGTACGTAGTTTGAGTAAGAAATACCAATGCAAACACATTGGGATCGGTCAGTTAAAAAGTTAGTAATCCAATTTAGTATTTTGGCACTTAATGCCGTAACAATTCAGTTTGTACACTAACTTAGAATGCAATACAGAGTCGAAAGCCTTTTCAAAGTCAATATAGATAATATCAACTTCCTTTTTCTTGTTAACAGCTGAGGTCCATTCATTAAGAGAAGCTAACATCTGTGTACATGTAGATCTACGCTTTAAGAACCCAAATTGATGAATAGAGATAAAGTTATAAAGTTAAAGGTACTTTTTTAAACTATTATCAATAATTGACTCCATAACTTTGCAACTAATACAAGTCATTGAAATGTCTGTAGTTCGTAAATAAGGAGGGGTTACCTTTCTTGAAAATCGGACATACATATGCGGTTTTCCAAATATTCGGAATTACACCAGTTAACATTGACAACTCGAAAAGGAGAGAGAACGGGATGGCAATAATATTAGCTATCAATTTTAGGAATAAGGCAGGATACCATCTGGTGATTTTGATGACTTTGGTGGAAGTTTTTAAAGAGCTGATAGAACAGAATCATAAGAAAATAGGACATTATTCAAAGAATTATCGTGGGATGGTAGGTCTAGCACAGGTTTAGTACTGTTGTCAGAGACAAACACTGAAGCAAAAAAATTGTTCAGAAGGCTCGATTTTTCACAGTCATCAGTACAAAGGGAACCGTCGGGTCTTACAAGTGGCGCAACAGAATTTAAACAGTTAAATTTTGAATTGACGTAAGAATAAAATTGGGTTAAATTAGAGTTGTCTACTATGTATTTTTCTCGAGCAATACAGTTTATTAAAAATATAAGCAACTATATATTTTTCTACACGTATTTTCTACATTTTCTACATTTCTCGAGCAATACAGTTTATTAAAAATATAAGCTACTATGTATTAATTAAAACTAATTATTAAAACTATTCAAATAAAATGTTCAAATTCTTTAAATTATAGTTTCCTGCTAATACGAAAAAATTTGCAGTATTTTTATAGGTAGTTCCAAATCATCAGATTAAGAAACACTTTTTTGTAAGAGTTTCTGAAGTTTTTAACTTTAAAAGTTCCTAAAGTTTTTAATTTTAAAAGTTCCTGAAGTTATTAATGCATTTACAAGTAAAAGATACACACTTTTAAAATTAATCCAAGTTGATTTTACATTTTACATGTAATTTTTAACAATGGAATAAGATATACTGTATGTAAAAAATGTATAACTGTATTTCATAATATCTAAAAAAAATTTATACATATATATATATATATATTTTTCGTTTTTTCATTTTTGCAATCTGTAAAGCATTATTCATCTTAAAATGTTAGAAAATGTTGCTTATTAATAAACACTGCAAACAATTTACCATGAACTTAGCACTTTTTTGAACTTCATAAGCTGCATATACTTTATACAATGTGTTTAAACTTTTTTAAAACCAAGTTTCTCTGTTTCATAATTTAATGAGCTCTTATAACATCTTACATTGATCTGATAAAAAAAAACATCACACACAAAATAACTTTAAATATTCTACTGAGGTCATTGTAAGCAAACAAAAAATAAAACTCAATTTTTATACATTATTAGGATCATTAAACACAAGATATTTATGATAATGTCATTGGCTGGGTCAATCTTAGAGGATGTTTTTGTAGAAAACAACATCCTCTAAGATTGACTTGGAACCATCTGCATTAAATTAACAGATTTTATGCAGATGGTTCCAAGATTCAGACATCATAATAAATACAAAAAAGGCTACAATAGCACAAGCACGGTGGGGAATCGGCTAGCGAATAGCTAGCTATAATACAGGCTTTCACAGGAAAACGTGCGATTTCATGTCTTTATATGACCACGCAAGTTACATTTTGCTATGACAGTTTGACCGCGGCTAATTTAAAAAACATTTTAGAAACGCGCTAAATAAAAAATATTTTAAAAAAGTGAAATTAATTACATCAAAACTTCTTAACAAATGTTTTTATATTAGCGAAATGATTTTAAATAAAGTAACAATTTACAGAAAAAAAAGTTTTGTTTTTTAAATATATTTGACAGTTGTATATATTTTTTTAATTTAAAACATATAAATTGTTAAAGTGTTCATTTTTTAAATAAATCTTATTAAAAAATTGTTATGTTTTTTTAAACGATGACATTCTACGACTACGAAAGTCTCTTTAACAAATTTAAATATAAGAATAATTAAAGTTAATTTTAAAGATAATTTTAAAGATAAACAAAATTTCGTTAAAAAAAGTTTTAGAAAACCGTTATAATTTAATAAGTTTGATCTTAAATGCTTTTATATTATCGAAACGCTTTTAATGAAGTAAAAAAAAAAACACTTCTAATTAATTTGAAAAAAAAATATTTATAAAATATTTTTTTATTTTATTTATATAACTATGTATTTTTTATGAGAAATATTTAACTTTTGAACATATTAAACAAATAAAAAATATATATAAATGTTATAAAAATGTTGAAACAAAGATTGAAAAGGTTTTTTAATGCATAAAATTTAGTTTGAGTTTTGTTTTAGATGCGTTATATATATGCATTTATTTATTATTTTTTTTTTTTTCTTTAACTAAGTATTTTTTTTTTTTTATTTTCTCTTTCGTCAATATTTATTACTTTTTTTAATTTTTTTTTCAGATAAGTTTAGGAAAGTTTTTGTAGCGCATTTTTAAAATTTAAAAATATACTGTGGTCAAATCGTTAAAACATTTTTTTATTGCATGGTGATATAAAGGCATGAAATCGCACGTCTTCCTGTGAAAGCCTGTAATCCTAACTATAAAGACAGCGATTTGGCCACGAGTATCGCTAATATTTTTAAGTTAGCAAAAAACTATCGATATTTGTAAAGATAAGGACAGCAATTTGGCTACAAGAACAGCTAGTTTAATAAGCTAAAGAACCACTGGCTATTGTAGCTAGCATTGAAGCTAAAGAACCACTGGCTATTGTAGCTATATTGTGGCTATTGTAGCTAGCATCGTATTGTAATAAAATAGCTGTCTAAAAAATTTTGAAATGTAGCTATTAACCAGCTATAGATTTGTTGATATTTTGTAGCTAGCTACAAAGCTACGATATCTAGATAGCTACACATTGCTACAAAAATTAAAGCTCAATTATTCTCATAATTATAATAGACTCAACGCTAAAAATCAAATTCTTAAAGATGTTAAAGACATTAGGAAAAAAAAAATTGCTATAAAGCTAGCTAGTTGCTAGCTCATTTCCCACCGGGAGAGTTCTATCTGTTGAAATTTCATTATTCTCACAGTAGCAAATGAAGACACAAGTGAGGTTTTAAAGTAACTTTATGCTGTCTCTTAAACCACCTGTTTCATAAATTTCAGTTTTATTGTTATTAAAATCTGTTTTAAATTTATCATAATAGCTCTACAAATCATGTACAAAGTACTCGCTGACTGGAGACTAATTTAACCAATTTAGCTCAATTTAGTCCATGAGAAGGCAAGAGATGTAATACGGTGCTGTCAACTGATAAATTTGAGATTAACTTCTTTTATTAAACATTTGGTACAATCAAACAAACAAAATGGAGATTTTTATTTTCTTAGCACAACTAATCATCTTTCCCCTTAGTCATGTCAAACAGTTCAATTAATGCATCAAAGTTTTTTTACTTTCTGCAGCGCATGCAGTTTTGCTACTTTTTCATAAATGGCTTAACCAGATACATTTGGAGGTTCAATATTTTGTTCCATAGGTTTTCAAGATCTAAAGCAATTACACCAATCTTTTGCCTTTGTTCTTTTAGCAATTAATTCAAAAAACTTAAAGTGCCTAATAACATGCTTTGACTTGTGCATGCAACCCCACTAATAAAATATTATAAACATATCTGAAATATACATAAACAATTTTACATGTGTAACTCTATAATTATCAAGAAAGTATAAATCACCTAAAAAGATAAAAACTCTTTATAATGATCTCTTGAAAATGCATTTTTATGATGCAATAAAAATTAAACTTTTCTACAGACTTATAATACTTTTGCTTTTATAACAGTTAATACCATGTTGCAAAAAAATTAGCCACTGTCTGATCAGTCATAGCACATTTTCCTATATATACCACTTTCTTATCTTACTGCACAAGTTGGTTTTATGACTTATATTGAAAATATTGATTATTATTAATCGTACATATTATGTTAAAATAAGCTGCATTTTTTTATAGTTCAATGGAATGATTTTCATTTTATTCATTAATAAACAAAAGTTCATCCATTTATGTTACAGGAAGTCATTTAAAAAAAAAAAAATTAATAATGATCATGTATAATACACATATTATACATAATCAATATTTCAAAAATTATTATTTCAATAAAAAAAATATTACAAAAAATAAAGTTTAAAATAAAAAATTTTTTAAAAATTATTTTTTAAAAGGATAATATGTACCTGGAGGTTTTTCTCCTAATATAGATTCATAAACTTGTACGAAAAAAAAATGATTGCATTGGTTTATTGTAAGAATAGAAGGTGATAAATTGAGCTTATCTACAATATTATTGGCTAAACCAATCAAATCTGTAAAATTAATAAAAAAATTTGATTATAAAAATTATCAAGTTTTACTTTAAAAGATATTTTTATTTATGAAAGCATTCAAATTAATTACCATCATCACTTTTACTTATTGCCATTACATGTCTTTAAAATCTAAATCTAAAAATAATTTTTATCACATAAAATTATAAATTTCATCTCATAAAAATATATAACATTTTCTTATATATATACATATCAGGGATGCAGAGTCCCAAAGGGACTCTGGCTTTTTATCTCTATGTTTTCCTGGTCTCTGGTTTCCAGAAGCTCTGAACATGTTGGTTGACTTATGATCTACTATATAAAAAAAACTTATGAAATTTAATGACTTGAAACATATTGTTTTTAAGATTGGAGTCCTGAAGTCCTTGCCGCCATTATACCTATGAACTCTGGGTTCAAAAAGTGATTGTTCCTCTAACCTAAAAGTCTTAATTTTTTTACCAAAAGTAGTCCATAGGTTTTTTTATATTATTAGAGCTCTTGGATACCAAAAACTAGAAAGAAGTAATCTTTTTGCAACATTCAAATCCGGAGTCCTTATTGGAACTCTGCATCCCTGGTATATACTGATACACCTTATTTTAAAACCACAAACAATTTTTAACCAGCTGAAATTTTAAACTTTGAATAACTTTTTATCATTGTAAATTTGATTCAAGTTCATCTGCCCAAAAAACTGAAGTATTTTTTGGGGATTTTATACTTGATCCTTGTTTTTAACCACATGTGAATTTTTAATTGTTGCATTAATTGCATTGTGAAAACCTTATTCTTATTCTCATATTTTTTTTGTTTTTGTTTATAAAGGCATAAATATATAAATAAATGAACATACATCCCTAAAAGGTGAATAATATTAGTGTTTTTAGCATAATAATTTAAACTTAAACATCAAATTATAATACTTTTATATGATTGTGTTTTTATATGATTTTGAATCAGTATAAAATTATCTTATATGATTTTGAATTAGCATAAAATCACTAGCATAGTTTTCACACCTGATACTCAAAAATTTAATAAACAAAGGTTTAACAAATAATCTTTTATTTATCTTTATATGGAACACTATTATTGTATTTGGACTGGTTCTTTTAATGATGCATTAGAAAAAGCAGTCCAAATCTCTTCCTCTTCTAAACAAGGTCTTAAAATGCAATGTAAATGTAGTTGGACCTGATTTACTTGCTATGCTTGAGTCATTCCCATTATTATCAAACTAGGATGATAGCTTGTTTTATTTTTTTGAGTATGAGTGTTTGAGTATTTGAAAAAAAAAAAAGAAAAAGAAAGAGATACCATCTAACAATGATGAGAGAGTGGCTCAAGCAAGGCAGATAAAGCAGATGCAATTTAGATGTAAGGTGTTAGAATGTTATTGAAGATAAAGAAATGATATAGAGCTTTTTATAAGTACTTAATAATAGTTTAACAAAGATTGAAAAAAAGTATGGACTTTTTTTCTTACTTTTATCAATTTTTTAGGAAAAAAACCGCTTATAAATTTTTGTTTAACTAATATTCTATATATATATTATTTAGAATACATATATACATATATATATATATATATATATATATATATATATATATATATATATATATATACATATATATATATACATATATATATATATATATACATATATATATACATATATATATATATATATATATATATATATATATATATATATATATATATATATATATATATATATATATATATATAATATATATATATATATATATATATATATATATATATATATATATATATATATATATATATATATATATATATATATATATATATATATATATATATATATATATATATATATATATATATATAGAATACCTATAGAAGAATCATTAATAAATTTTAGTTCAAATAGTAAGTAAAATAGATGGCTATTTTTTTTATTTATTTATGGAAAATAAATATGAAACTGCTCATTAAAAAAATTAAATGTACCAATAAATGAGTCCTACCAATAACTGTGCCACTACCATACAATAAATCTGTAATATCAAATACTAAAGACCATAATAAAAACACTTTAAATAATAACTTTTTTAAAAACACTGAGTATTTTCCAGTACAACATATTATTATGAATATTAATAATATTCGTAATATAATGTTGTAAACATAATATTATTATGTTTATTATTATTATGTAATAAACATAATATTATTATGTTTAAAAAAGCAGTCACATTATTATGTGACTGCTTGATTGTTATAATGATTATAACTTAACTAGTAAAAAATATTAAAATGAAGAAACTTTAAAAGAAACCTTTGAACCATGATTATATGAATAAAGTTAATACATATAAACTTAATACATATAAGTTTGAACCAGGATTATATGAATAAAGTTAATACATATAAACTTAATACATATAAAACTTAATTCATATAAGTTTATACTATAAACTTATAAGTTTATACTATAAACTTATAAGTTTATACTATAAACTTATAAGTTTATACTATAAACTTAAACTTATAATTTTGCCAATATATTTTGAATGTCAAGTGGAAATCCCGAGCATTTAATACGAAATCCAGTGCAAATTATTCTTAGAAACGACTTAGTGGTTTATAAAATCAGCTTAATTCTTATAAATAATCTGACAAATAATTTAGCTGATCATATGCACACAATGCACTCCAAATCAAAAGTAAATCCTACTTGAGGTTTGTACATAAATATTTTTTGCGTTAGGTAGTAAATTTTTCACCAACAGAAATAGTGATCTGCCGTAAGCTATTGCGATATTACATAAACACAGTATCGAACTTCGATATTGAAACTGGATATATTTTTTCTGAATTTCGAACTTATCGATATTCAGTTCGATATTTTACGATATTATACGATATTAAACGAGATTCTAGAATTTTTGAATGCTATTTTTGTGTTCAAGACCCATTTTTTCTAATTAGAGGAATTTGAAGGGTCTAATACCGTAAGTTATCTTCAATATTTGAAATATGTTTTAGCAATTTGGAAAAAAAATTATAGCTCAATTAATTGTATATTTTTTCATAAACAGTTTTACAAAACAAAAATTAGTCTATCGCGTCAGCTGATGAAACATTTTCTTCCTCGATTAGCCATTTTTTAATAGTAACTTTACTAATGTTGATTTTAACGTACACAAGTTTTTCTATTGTCTCGGCTTTTAGTAAAGTTCTTTTACATGACACAATATTTCCGGCTTGTGAAAACACACGCTCTGAAGAAGTTGATGACGCTGGGACACACAAGACTTTCTTAGCAGCTCTAGACAAAATTGGAAGTTGAGGTGAATGAATTTTCCACCATTCCAAAATATTGTAATTTTTATCTGGAAATCCAAGCCTCTTGTAAGCTTCTGGTTCTATATCAAATGGAGAATCTTTTGATGATCTATAAAGCTCAGAGGCATTAGAATCCTGACCCATCATTTCAAAAAGAAGTTGTTCGGCAGGAGACAAATCTTGTTTGGGTGACACTGTTTGTGTTGTATTTTCAATCAAATTTGATGGTTGCTTTCCTATTGAAATTTCTTTTAAATCTCTGAGTGCGACATCGTCTTGGCCAAACCTTGTCAAAAGGAGACCCTTAAATTTGGGATCAAGTAAGTGAGCTAAAGCATTGTTTTTTTGTCTTGAACCACAGTCTGGAAATCGTTTGTTAAGATTTGAAAGGAGTTTAGAAACAAAGTCTCCTGTAATTTTGTCATTTGGCAGTATAAGCTTTTTAATATTCTCTTGAATATCAAACAGTCCTGGAACAACTCTCTGAGAAGTTGGGATTTTTTCAGATGAAACAACCTCTGTAAAATCATTAAACAGTTTCATGATCGGCACTACTTTTTCAATAACATCAAACTCATTAGAAGATGGAATTAAAGCCCTTAAAATGTCGTCCGTTTTAAGGTTGCTGCTTGCAATTATTTCAAGAGCTAATCGTAAATGTAATATTGAATCCATGCACATAAAACCACTATTCCAACGTGTAGGACAAGGAGAAATAATTTTATTAAATTTGATTTTCTCAGGTATGACATCATTACATGCTTCCATAATTCTCTGTTGACTGTTGATTGATTTGTGAGTTCGTGCTGAGAGTGTTTTGCACACCTTGAAATAAAAAATTATTTTGGTTAAAAAAAATATATAAACAAAAAAAAAACATAGGATTTGAAAGTTATTCATTTGTTGGTTGCACCTTTATGCAGGTAAATGGTATTGATGCATTCTTTAAAATTTTTTACTATTGAGAAAATAGACTATCGCATTTTTCATAGTTTCGTAAACAAGAGGAGAAAATGACTAAACATTTTTTTTACCTGAAAAACTTTTTCAATCTCATCGACTTCTTTGACAGATTTGATAATAACAAGGTGAAGTAAATGTGCAATGCAGGAAATACTTTCATCAATTTTGGCCAATTTTTTCATCCCAGATATCATGTTTGCTGCACTATCTGTGACAGAAGTCATTTTACAACCATTATTGAAAAGTAGAACAGAAATTAATGTGTCTGTTTTAATTGAAATATTGTCACCTGTGTGGCTGTCTGGAAAAGCATTACAGCCCAGCAAAAATGTCTTTAGTTCAAAGCCAGTTGTAATATAATGAAGCGTCAAGGCTGCAAATGACTCATTGCTTTTGCTGGACCAAAGATCTGAAGTAAATCCAACTGCATCTACATCTTTTAAGTCATGTGTTAAAACATTAAGAACTGCCTCAAAAACATTAGAATAAAGGATTGGAAGTTTGTTTCTTGAATATGTTGATGGTGCTCTAATAATAATTTCAGGACGAAGGCTTAATAAAAAGTCTTTAAAAGCAGGTGATGAAACATGTTGAAAAGCTAAATTTCCCATGCACAAATATTTCACAATATCCAAGTCAGCTATTTATTGTCGCTTGTTGTTTGTTCCATATTTTGTCACAACCTTGCAATACGATAAAATGTCCATCTTTACTCTTTTTGCACTTAGAGCTATTGGCCCATGAGTGTCCAAAATTGATTCTTGTGCTGTTGTTTCTGGTGCTCGTTTTAAATTTTCTTTCCCAATGTTGAGAAAAATTTCATTATGACAACCTCTGATGTGAACCTTCAAACCAGTCGTAGTGCTCTGTTTGGTGCCTATTTGTGTTGGGCATAGCATACACTGAGCAATATCTTTTTTTGGTGTGTCTCTTAAAAAATACGCCCAAAAGGGACTTACTCTTGGCATTTTCAAAAAAAATTATCACAACTTTTCTCACTTATAACTTCTATTAGTAACTAATTTTGAAAAAAATATTTATAAGGTTATATCAAAAGTATTTGAGTATTGAACAAAAATTAAGACATCAATTTTTGGTAAAGCTACAGTTAAGCGGCCAAAAATAAATTTACTGTTTCGCTTTTTGCGCTCTCGTTCGTAGAGACTTTAAAATATTAACAAAATATAAAAGCAAAGAAGATTTATTTTATTCTAATAAGAGCAAAGTAAATTTATTGTTTAGAAATAAGTTGTTTGCGGAATTTAATGTTTTATGCTTTATTTTATATATTGTTTTCTTATTATTTTTTATATATTATTTGCTATTATTTTTTATTTTATTTTATTACTATTATATTATATTTTATTTATAAAAATATATTTATTATTATAATATCAAAACTTTGATTATAATTTACCTTGATTATAATTTAATTTGATTATAATTTGATTATAATTATTATATTTAATAATTAAACTTTGATTATAATTTACTTATAATTTACTTTGATTATAATTTATATTTACTTTGATTATAATTATTATTTATTTACCTTCAACTTTAATATAAAACTTCAACTTTTAATTAAATCTTTTAATTTCAAATTCACAACCCGTAACATTTATTATTACATAACATAATTAAGTTTCGCTTTAAAAATACGCTCCATCGTGTTTTTAAAAAGCGAAAAAATATAATTATTTTAGGCCGCTTAACTGTAGCTTTACCCAATTTTTAATTTACACTTAACTTTTAGCATTTTTAATTACTTTTCAGTTTGGCGGGAAAGTTTAGCTGGGAAATTAGGAGGGACAGTTTAGAGTATAACAGTTGATTTTTATTAAAGTTTGAATATTAGTATCGATATTTTAGTTTGAATATCGAGAATCTTTCGATATTGCTGTGAAAGGATATCGAATAATATCGACAATTCAATATCGAACCTGGTCAAAATGTCGATATTTTAGCATGTTTCGATACTACGATACTGATATCGCAATACTTTAATCTGCCGTATCTAATGTGATCTGCCAAATAATTTGCCAAATCACATGTTAAAATTAGGTTGTTAGGATTTCCGCAAATGTAAGTATAATATATCACGTTTGATTGAAGATCGATGGTAAAACGAATCTATTAATATTTTTATATAAACTGTTGACTATTTTTATATAAACTATATATATATATATAAAGCATTGTCAATATTATATTGACATAGCATGCATATATGGCGTATCACAAAACAATAATACTAGCATTTGTTCTGCCGAACTATTTGGCAGATCACTTATGAGAGTTCAGCTGATTTTATAATCTGCTCTTCCGTTTGTACAATATAAATGATGTTCTTAGCCAATCTACTCTGCTCTGCTGATTGAATCTAACCGAACTTTTCATGCAAAACTAGTTTTAAAAGCTTATATTTACCACTGTTTTATAATGTAGCTCGGATTTGTTGTTAACAAATGAACTAATTGAAAACGTGCGCAAAGATCCGTATTAATAGTTTTGACACATTAATAGTTTTGACAAATGAGGCAGAGTTGTTAGTCCTTAGCATTGGTCTTGGCCTCGGCCTTGCCTTAAGGCCAAAACTTAAGGCCTTGGTCTTGGCTTTCAAACTTTTGGTTTTGACATTGGTCTTGGCCTTGAAAATTTTGGTCTCGACCTTAATTGCTTTGGCCTTAGCCTTCAAAAAAATAAAATAAATAAAAATCAAGAATAAAAAGTTTTCATTCTTTATTTTTGTGTATTTTTGTTTTCGGCTATTATATTTATCTACAAGTATACTTTCTTATTGATTTCGTTGAATTCTGCGCACAACCTCGGTCTAATTTCACAACATGTGGTTTTATTGTCACAGCACTTGCTACCTACAGCTTTGCTAATATTTGGCCTTAACGTAAAGCAAAAACTTAAATCTTTGGTCTTGAAAATATTTGCGTAGGCCTTGACCTTAAAATTCTCGGCCTTGTCCTTGGCCTCGCAACTTTTGGCCTTGTTAACAGCTCTGATATGAGGTGGGGGTTAGTGGGACACCATGATACATGGGACACTATGAAATATAGCAATTGTCGAAGCACCACAATAGTTACTACTAGAGCTATGTTTCGGAAAAAAACTATATTAAAAGTCAATAGACCTGCAAGCGGTCATATTTTGTGTTTTATTTCATTAAAAAATATTTTGAGAAGAACTTTATCAACTCTTTTATATAATGTATGTGCTGAACTAAACAAGTTTTAACAAATAAAGCATTATTTTGGGCACTGATTTCGTGCCCAAGATTGAAAGCAGATTATAAAGAAGTATATACTTTATTGATTATAGAGGAACCATGCCATTGCAGTAAAGTGGGACATGTGTGGGTTAAAGTGGTACAGGCGAATAATTAACAACGTATCAAATTAAAGTTATTATTAAAAAATTATCAAAATCGTAGACCGCCTAATCTTTATCAAAATATTCTAGAGGTTTCTACATTATAAGTACACAAAGGTAATAAGGAAGAAG